AATAACATAAAATTTACAACAACAACAACTACAACAACATTGTCTATGTTTCTGTTCAAGAACTACCCAGCCACACCGGGACCAAGAAGAATAAAACAGTTCTGGAAAGAGTTTGTCTGTCTGTCACATTTTTAAAGCACTCTTTACCCTCACAAAGGGAGAAAACTGTTAACAGGAATGAGAAAATCCTAAACCTTTCATTTTATGAAAAGGGTTTAAATCTGTCCTGAAGATTAAAAGGACCTATGTCCCCAGCCAAGATCCCTAGCTAGCTGGTTTGGGAGAGTTCCCTCCTTCAAGGTAAAGAGACTCATGGTTCAGGGGATGATTGCACTGAATATGAAACTCTAGTAAGACTGCATACACTGATGCAAAAATTAAAATCATCTGGTTCAGTATCAGCAGACTGTGAACTATTAAGACCAATTGTCGTCCATGATGGGCCAGCACTTAAGGCCAGTTCTTGGTTTGATAAAATGTGGAAAAGCGTGTTATCAATTTGCTGAACATAATCCTATGTTTGTATATTGTCTTGTTTTGCTCTGCTTATTTTCTAGTATAATTTGACTTAGTTTTGTAGCCTGATTTGTTACAGCATATGTGCTACATGCAAACATTTTTAACCCAAGCTGAATTTGGGTAGGAAACGACGCCTCCCCCTTGTCTCCAAAATAAAAATAGTAAAACATATAGCTACATCAAACTTCTCAGCAGAAACAGTGACAAATACACAATGTGCTAATTTGGGACAGAAGTTACAGCGCTTGGGAAAACAAAGGGAGTATTTCAAAATAGGACAAAGATAAGATGGATGGTAGGATTTTTCAAGCTTGTCAACTTTAAGATATGTGAACTTCCCCAGCTAGCTTTTGATTCAGTTAAGTAATTTGGGGAAAGGAAGTTCAAACCATTCATAGAACTCCACTATAAAAAGGTCATAAGTAAACATGACCGCTGCAAGGAATGGAAATACCAAAATAGAAAATTCACTTTCCTAGGTCACAGGTCACTCGAAGTGGTGAATACAGCTCAGAAATAAAATGAGGGATTGCACTAGGTCACACACCAATGATGAAGATGAGGCAAATATGGAAAAGCATGAACATCAGCCTGGCAACCAAATGCAGGTTAGTCTGTTCTATTATGCTCCCCATAGTTACTTGTTGTAAAAATTGGACCTTAAAAAAGCAAGACAGGAAGAAAATCAACTCATTTGAGCCGTGGTACTGGACAAGGCACCTGCGCAATCCTTGGACAGCAAAGATGACCAAGAAGCAAATGCTGAAGCGCATAACCCCAGACATGTCACTGGAAGGAAAAATCACAAAACTATGTCTCACTTATTTTGGCCATGTTGTGCGGGGAATCCACTAGAGAAAGCAATTATGTTAGGAAGAATTAGTGGCGAAAGAAAACCAGGCCACCAAAGAACGCAGTGGCTAGACACCATCAAAGCTGACACCAGCCAGAGCACAGAACAACTCAAAGAAGTAGTGTAAGATTGGAAGAAGTAGATTGGGCCCATAGAATCACCAAGAATCGAACACGGGTGAATAGATGACATCATCATCATCAGAGGCTAAGAGAAAAAAAAATATTTCTCATATCTAGATAACCAAGATAATGTTTCTGCTAAAAAAACAAGAATTTTAAACTTTAGCAGGATTTTAAAAAAAAACATAGCTAACATATCAGGGTTCATAAGATGAACAAAAGATGGGAAGTTCATTTCCCCGCCCCCAACTATCCACACCCAGACCTGCCCCAGTTTTGCCCTCTCTTGTACAGATTCACTGGTGGTCTACAGCTGCTTTAAAACTCCCTCATGGTTCATTTATCAAATTAATTGCTGAGATTATGATTTCTATTTCTGAGAAAAACAAATAAAGTAGCCTTTGTGAACACCTCAAGTAACATCTGTTTTTATTGACAAACTTATTTATTACTTTCCTGGGACTTATATGCCACACCCATCCAACTGGGTAAATAGTTTACATTCCCTTTGATAGTAAAAGCATTAAAATACAATAACATTATAAAAAATGAAATACTTAAAACAACAACAACTGAATCCTGGCATTCTCTCACCAACCCCAACAGTTCTCCTAACGTGTATGCTTTATTGGGAAATAAAAAGGGGAAAAATGATAAGAAGGACACATATTCTATCGTGCCATCTCCTGGCACTATAATGTTGAAGCATGTGACTAGGAAGATCAGCCCTTCCTCTGCCTCCTCCTTTGTGGGGAGAGAGAAATCCATGTGTCAGCCCTTTGAGATAGGTCAGATCAGGAAACAGACAACACAAGGGTTAGAGGAAAGTTACTTTATTTTGTAAAATATAAGAACAGAATTGAAAATCTGCTAAACAAGCACAAAATGAATTTTCTAAAGATTTTCTCTTCTCTTCCCCTTTCCCAAGACTGACTTGAAACATTTGTAACACTTCTTGTGCATTTTCGGAGTGAAGTTTCTTGCTTTAGGTTCCTTCCCTTTTCTGAATATGTGCACCTAAGATTGCCGTAGGAAGGAGATTATTATTTGGTATGGGATAGAATATTGATGTATTTGCATGGCAGACAGTGTGGAAAGGGAACTTCACGAAGACAGTAGTGTCACAAAAAACAGGAAAAGCCCAAGGGGAACATCAGGTCAGCCATAAAACAAACTTACATAGGAAAAGGAATCAAATAAAAAAGGTATTAAAGAATCCCTATAGACAAAAGCCTAAGTAATTAAGAAAACTAGACAAATAAGAAAAGGAAACAAAAAGATAATTTAGAAAACCCTTACAAACACAGGACATACCAAATAAGCAAAACAAACAGACAAAAGACACAAAATATAAATGACAAAAGGGACAGACAGGAGATTGCCACAGAACAAATATGAAAAACTATCTTAAAGCTGAAAGAGATTAGAGAAAACCAATAATACAATCTAGCCACCCCACAGAGTTTGCCTTCCGCACCCCGCGGAGTTTGCCCTCCGGCGGGAATAAAGACAAACTCAAACAGCATTTGAAACATTAAGCACAAATACAAACATTCACACAAAATCAACTTACAAAGGGAGAAAAGGGTATAAAAAACCAGGGACTTACCATAAGAAGCTAGCTAGCCCAGGAATGCAGACTTCTCGCTGTCCCCCGCCTTCCTGAAAAATAAAAAGATCCAGCTTTCAAGCAGTTGTCTGTATCCTTCCAGGATACAGCTCTCCCAGCGGGAAAATCGAATCCTCGAAGGAAAGGCATTTTGACACCTTTCAACAACAGGATAGGACATTGTATGTGAAAATCTTATATTTCTCAGCAATGCCAGCTTAGCTAATCAGTTGGATATATTAATTGTTGAAAAGAATATTTTGATACATTAAGATGTTTAAAATTTTACACTAAATACAAGGTTAATACATTATGTGTAATATAGGTATGTGTAATCAGCTTAGAGAGAAATTATTAATGCCATTTCGGAGAACTCTGTCAGTGCCTTTATTAATGTCCTGGATGAAATGATTGACAGGATGACTATTAAACCTGCAAATGATACCAAACTAGGAGAGGCTTACATGTTGGAAGACAAAAAGAAGATCCCAAAAGATCTAACTAGGCTTCAACTGCAGGCTGATACAACAGGATGAAAACTAAGAAGGAAATGTAAATGCTGCATGTGGGGATAAATAAAAGGTGCAAGGATTGGAGAATGAGTGGTCACTAAGCAAGGACTACCCACATAAGAGAAAAGGATCTGGATGTTCCAACCAATCACAGACTGAATATAAGCCAACAATGTGAGGTAGCTTCTAAACAGGCAAATGTTATTTGGAGATGTATTAACAAGAAATGAGAGGAAGTGGGAAGTAATTATCCCACTCTTTTTTTGTCTTGGTCAGAATCCACTTGGAATACCATATTCGCTTCTAAGCATCACAATATATATATATATTCATATTCTTAAGTTTTCGCGGGTACTTACATGTATGGTATTCAGCTTTGTTCGGGTATTTTTCCACGTCATTATAGTTGTGCTTTTAAAGTTGTACCAACGTTTCGGCAGAATCTCATCTGCCATCATCAGGCTTGTGTATTGTGTTCGTCTGTGAGTCAGACTTTCACAGTGTGCTGGGCTGGTTGGCTGCGCTGCTGCCTCTTGATTGGTTGATGGAGTTGATGTTGGTATAATGGGCTGTGTGATGGCCTTGTGAGTTTTGTTGTGGAGATATCCTTACATGTATGGTATTCAGCTTTGTTCGGGTATTTTCCCACATCATTGTAGTTGTGCTTTTAAAGTTGTAGCAACGTTTCGGCAGAATCTCATCTGCCATCATCAGGCTTCTGTATTGTGTTCGTCTGTCGAATTTATATATATATAAATATATATATATATGGAACCTAGAGCCAATTTAGAGCACGGCTACCAAGCTGGTAAGGCAGCTGGTTCCGTTTAGTCTGCAGAAGAGAAAAGTGAGCAGAGAGAGAGATACGACAGCAGTCTTCGATATTTAACAATATTGTTAAATTACAGTTTTCCTTTTCCTTCTTTAAAATTAAAAAAAAAAAAAGCATGATGGCTTAAAAGCAGCGAAGCTACCTAACGTGAAAATACATCTCGAAATATTGCACAGCGAAATCTTGACAAGATAAAAGCAAGCAGGGAAACCTTCGCTTTCTTACATTTGCCTTCTTCTGATTGGCCAGAGCTGCTACCCGCGATCGCCTTGACTTCTCTGTCACATCGGCCCTTCAGACCCAGATCTGCGGCAGCGACTGAGGTTTTTTTCTCCCTCTCTGCACCACGAGAGGGAGCTGTGCTCTGCTCCGCGACCGCAAAGCTCCGGAAGACTCTTGCCTCGGTAACACTGTAGAATTGTTCTCTCCCGCTCGTTACGGCAGGAAGAGGCGGAGATTTGAAGAACAAGCCTCCCTATTAGTGGTAATTCTTGAGGTTACCCAATAGGAGAAGCCCTTGCTTGAATGTGGGCCGTCTGAAAGCGCCATCTTACTTCTTGTTCAGAGTGCTGAGCTGTACCTTCCCGGTCCGAGCGAAGAGGGACCCAACTATGCCGCTTTATCAGACCTGGGAAGAGTTCACTCGTGCAGCGGAGAAACTCTACTTGTCCGACCCTATGAAGGTACTTGGGCGTGGAGGTGATCTGAAGCGTGGAGAGTGTCGGTGGAGGAGACGGCGGAAAAATTGAGCAGGAGGAAGAGGGGTTGGTGGGTGTTGCATGGGTTTTTTTTGGGGGGGGGGAGAGGGGTTGTTACCATCTTAGTGTTAGCCACTAGATCAGTTTTCCAACTCTGGTGGTGCCCAGGTGGCCGATAATGGCCGGCTTTTCTGTAGTTGGCAACTATAGAAAAGCTTTAATCTCGCTCAGAGTGGGGAGTTATTAATCAAAAGTTTTGATTTATTTTGATATTTTTTTTTGCCGTGTATTGTATTTGTGACAGTTGAATGCATTGCAAGGTCTGCTCATCTCTATCATGTTTCCTGGCTGGAGTAAATTTGGAAGTAACTCTTCTGGTACCGTTATAGTAAATATGTTTCAGTGATAGGAAAACTTCTAGTGCAGGGATCCCCAAACTTGGCAACTTTAAGACTTAATGGACTTCAACTCCCTATGCTGGCTGGAAAATTCTGGGAGTTGAAGTCCACAAATCTTAAAGTTGCCAAGTTTGGAGACCTCTGTTCTAGTATTTTGGGTAGTTGAATATCAATATTTCACTATTGGATTAACTCTTTGGTAGTGGATGTTGCAGTGAGTTGTACAAAACCTAGACAATCCGCTCCCGTATGCTTATGTGGTATTGTGTAAATAAAGGACATCCATTTATTGGTTTTGTTTATTTAAAGTGTGCCTTGGTTGGAAGCTCTCATCAGGTGAAAAAGGGCTAAAGGTTGAGATGCTGTGTGTAACTGGTATTAAGGCAGGTTTGTAAACAGCCATGTTTTTTTAACTTGTGAAAATGTATCTATATTGATGCTATTTTATTTTTTTATAAAATGGTTTTTGTGTCATTTCAGGTCCGAGTCGTACTCAAGTACCGACATTGTGATGGAAATCTGTGTATTAAAGTAACAGATGATGTTGTTGTAAGTAAAACTTAGATGATGTGATTTACAGTTTTAAATTCTCAGAGTCCTAATCAAATTTTCAATATTGTTTTAGCAGAAAAATTGGTTGGTGTATCAGCTGATTTAATGAATACTTCTCAAAGAAGCAGTTGTGTAAACCTAGAGGCATTCAAATCATATTTATAAGATGTGATGTTTTTAGAGTTAGTGCGCTGGCATTTTAAAATTTTAAAGCAGTATCTCAGAATAAATTGTGAATGTTTAGAATCCTAATGCCCAGAGTTATGTATGGTGGGTGAACATACAAAATTTTTAAATAAATAAAAAAAACATTTATCTTCTGTTTCACACATAATCAAAGGTTCTGTCAGGCACAGGACTCAATAGCTTCATAAACAATTTAGATGAGATAGAAGGGAAACTCATCAAATTTGCAGACAACACCAAGCTGGCAGGAATAGCCAACATGCCAGAAGATAGTCTTAAAAGCTAGATGGATTTTGACAGACTTGAATACTGGGCCCTATCTAACAAAATGAAATTTAATGGTGAGAAAAGTAAGGTTCTACACTTAGGCAAGTCAGATGCCTGGTATTGAATAGGTGGTAACTGGCTCAACAGTAGTAACTCTGAGGGGGATCTTGGAGTCCCAGTGGACAACTAATTTAAATATGAACCAGCAGTGTACATCAGCCAACAAAAAGGCTAACATAAAAAAGATGTTGGAATTCTAGAAAAGAGTCCAGAGAAGAGCAACAAAGATGATTAGGAGATTGGCGTCTAAAACATGAAGAACAGTTGCAGGAATTGGGTATGTCTAGTTTAATAAAAATGACTAGGAGTAACATGACAGCCGTATCCCAATAACTAAGGGTCTGCCATAAAGAAGAGGGGGTCAATTTATTATCCAAAGCACCTGAAGACAGAAGAAGAAGCAGTGGATAGAAACTAATCAAAGAGAGAGCCAGCCTAGAAATAAGGAAAACTTCCTGATGGAACAATCAGTCAATGGAATGACTTACCTTCAGAAGCAATGGGTGCTCCATGGGTGCTGCAGGTTTTTAAGAAGAGATTGGACATCCAGTTGTTTGAAATGATATAGGGCTGTGATGGTGAACCTATGGCATATGTGCCAGAAGTGGAGAGCCATCTCTCTGGGCATGCCAGCTGTTGCCCGTTGCTCTTCTGGGTTCCAGCTGGTCTTCGCACGCGGGGGAGCGCTGGAAACCAGAAGAGCATGTGCACCGGGCAGCTGCTTTTCCGGTTTCCGGTGCGTGTGCACTCCCGTTTCAGCACTCAGTGCCGAAAAGGTTTGCTAACACTAATATAGGATCTCTGGCTTGAGCAGTGGGTTGGATTAGAAGACCGCTAAGGTCCCTTCCAATTCTATTATTAGGGAAGTGCAGTCTTTGTATATATTTCATATATCTTTTTAAACTCCTGGGAACATTAGTCCTTTAAACATCCTGATTAGAAGTAGCTGATTCTGCTTAAACTTTGCACTACAGAACCATTTTTAATTACAGACAATCCAACCACAGTTGAGTCCAACATTTCTGTTGCTAAGTGAAACATTGAGTTTTGCCCCATTTTACGACTTTTCTTACCACAGTAGTTAAGTGAATCACTGCAGTTAAATTAGTAACACAATTGTTAAGTGAACCTGGCTTTCCCAGTGATTTTGCTTGTCAGAAGTTCGCAAAGGGGGATCACAATTATAAAAAAATAATCTGGTTCTGAGCAATTGCACTTATTATATATTTTGTCCTCATAATCACTGCTGCTCCTTTGTTAGGTCTTTTTATTACAACAGTTTAATTTGCACTGTAAAACTATATTGTAACAGCTGTTTTATGTCCTCATGATATGAGGATAAAGAGCAAAATTATGTGTTTTAGACTTTTAAAAAACATTTTGATTATGTGCCATCAAATCAATGTTATATTTGAGTGATCGCATGGATAGACCTCTAATCTGACTCCAGCCTGGTCCTTCATGTCTCCCAACAATACACCTATTGTTGTAGTAATCAAGTGCACTCACTGTTCTGTATTCTGTACAGTGGTAGATTTTGTCTTCTGTACAGATGTAGATAGATAAACTCAACAAAACATTCATACAAAGTCTTTATTATTGGTTCATCAGGTATCCTCATAACTCACATTTGTGACAAAGTTCTTCTTAATGTTCAATCCTTTGCATGTCTTGTAGTGTAGGAAGATAATGAAGTCTCAACCCCATGATGATTGAAGCAGCTGCATGGTATGGTGGCTTCAGGCAAGAGTGAAGGAACCTCCCCCAACCCACCAAGGGTCAATTCAGTGACCAATCAGGGTTACAGATGTGGCCACATGACATGGACTACATTTCCCAGGATACCTTAACTACATTTACCATGATGCATTCCCTTAAGGGGACAGCTCACAAGTCCTAACTAATTATCCCAAATCCCATTAACTTTAAACTGTCAGGACAGCACACTCACCTTGCTGTTGGTTATCTTCTTTCCCACCCCTCTTTTTTTCTTTCCCAATGTTATGGACATCTGAACAGAGCACAGTCTACACAATGTATGCAAAATATGATTGTTTGACCCATTTGTTCAAATGTCATTTGTATTTTGAGTGAGAACCATGATTATGGCATCTGAATATCTTTTCCAAGATTTTCATAGCCACCTTACCAAATTCTACTCTGTTGACAGCTGTCCTTTTATTGTTGATCATTGATTCTGAAAGGCAGAAGCTATCCACCATATCACTGTCTTTGTTGTCAATTCTGAGGCTGATTGCTCTCCCTGTTATCATTCGTTTGGTCTTTATATTTAATTGTAGGCCCATTTTTTTTCATTGTGCTCATTGACTTCCATTATTAGAACTTCCAGATCACTTACATCAGGGGTGTCAAACTCATGCCCGAATGTGTCATGCACTGGCCACGCCCATGCCTGATTTAGCACAATGCTGCGATGACATGAGTTTGACACCCGACTCTATCAGACTGATATCAGCATTAGTGCATGGTATTGATATTCCTATAATTTTAAATGCTCATCTTCTTCCAGTCCAGCCTCATTCAATATATTTTCCACATGTAAAATAAGGAGAGAATATATAGCCTTGTCTCATTCCTTTGCAACTGTAAAATAAGTTTTTTATTATGTTCTGTATAGTCTGAGCTTTCCTTCCTTTGTCATATAAAGTATGGGCTTTGTATGAAGAAGTTGAGATGTTTTGGGATTGTCATTTTCCTAAGGACATTCCATAACTTGGTTGACATAACTGAAGGCCTTTCTATAATCAGCAAAGCGTGTATTGACTTAGTTTTGGAATTGTTTGGCTCTTTCAATTAACCAGGATGCATCAGCGATGATGTCTATTCTTCCTGTCTATTATTCTTTTCTAAAACCAACTTAATCATTCCATATTTCCATAGCTATAATCTGCAGAGAAAGTTAGTTTGCTAACTTGTGATCTTTATGATTATTTGCACATTCTAATAAGTCTTCTTGATTGTGGTATGCAGACAAAGCTCCAACAGGGTTGACCGCTGTGTCAGTCTCCATATTTGCTAGTATAATTGAGTTAGAACTGATTTGTCTTCTGTTACTTGTCACATTTCTATAGGTATTCCATCAATTCCTGTACCCTTCTCACTTAGTAATGACCAGCGTGCTCATTTAATTTCATTTGGTTGTACTAAGAATTCATATGAACAGGGAGTATCTTCTTAAGATTCTTGGTTGTCTCAAATATGTACATAATTTCAGTACTGTATACAGTAGTCCCCAAATTGACAGGTGTAGCTTGAGTTATAAATTGTGATGGTCAGAAAGTGGGTCACCATGTGACCAGAACTGATTCTACAATGTTTTTCATGGTGGCTGTTATGGAACTGTGCAGTCATTAAGCAAAAGCTGCAGTTGTTCATTGTTTGCTATGGAGCAATTTTTGATGGAAACAGGAAGTAAATACTGGTTTCCAGCAAAACCTTTGAAAATCGTAATTATACACTGCTCAAAAAAATAAAGGGAACACTTAAACAACACAATGTAACACCAAGTCAATCACACTTCTGTGAAATCAAACTGTCCACTTAGGTAGCAACACTGACTGACAATCAATTTCACATGCTGTTGTGCAGATGGAATAGACAACAGGTGGAAAGCATAGGCAATTAGCAAGACATCCCCAATAAAGGAGTGGTTCTGCAGGTGGTGACCACAGACCACTTCTCAGTTCCTATGCTTTCTGGCTGATGATTTGGTCACTTTTGAATGTTGGTGGTGCTTTCACTCTAGTGGTAGCATGAGAGAAAGTCTACAACCCACACAAGTGGCTCAGGTAGTGCAGCTCATCCAGGCTGGCACATCAATGCAAGCTGTGGCAAGAAGGTTTGCTGTGTCTGTCAGCGTAGTGTCCAGAGCATGGAGGCGCTACCAGGAGACAGGCTAGTACATCAGGAGACGTGAAGGAGGCTGTAGGAGAGCAACAACCCAGCATCAGGACCGCTACCTCCGCCTTTGTGCAAGGAGGGACAGGAGGAGCACTTCCAGAGCCCTGCAAAATGACCTCCAGCGAGCCACAAATGTGCATGTGGCTGCTTAAACGGTCAGAAACAGACTCCATGAGGGTGGTATCAGGGCCCGATGTCCACAGGTGGAGGTTGTGCTTACAGCCCAACACCGTGCAAGACGTTTGACATTTGCCAGAGAACACCAAGATTGGCAAATTTGCCATTGGCGCCCTGTGCTCTTCACAGATGAAAGCAGGTTCACACTGAGCACATGTGACAGACGTGACAGGGTCTGGAGACGCCATGGAGAACGTTCTGCTGCCTGCAACATCCTCCAGCATGACTGGTTTGGCAGTGGCTCAGTAATGGGGTGGGGTGGCATTTCTTTAGGGGGCTGCACAGCCCTCCATGTGCTCGCCAGAGGTAACCTGACTGCCATTAGGTACCGAGATGAAATCCTCAGACCCCTTGTGAAACCATATGCTGGTGCAGTTGGCCCTGGGTTCCTCCTAATGCAAGAAAAAGGCATTGATGCTATGGACTGGCCCGCCCGTTCCCCAGACCTGAATCCAATTGAGCACATCTGGGACATCATGTCTCGCTCCATCCACCAATGCCATGTTGCACCACAGACTGTCCAGGTGTTGGGGGATGCTTTAGTCAGGTGTGGGAGGAGATCCCTCAGGAGACCATCCGCCACCTCATCAGGAGCATGCCCAGGCATTGTAGGGAGGTCATACAGGTATGTGGAGGCCACACATACTACTGAGCCTCATTTTGACTTGTTTTAAGGACATTACATCAAAGTTGGATCAGCCTGTAGTGTTTTTTTCCACTTTAATTTTGAGTGTAACTCCAAATCCAGACCTCCGTGGGTTGCTAAATTTGATTCCCATTGATAATTTTTGTGTGATTTTGTTGTCAGCACATTCAACTATGTAATGAACAAAGTATTTAATAAGAATATTTCATTCATTCAGATCTAGGATGTCTTATTTTTGTGTTCCCTTTATTTTTTTGAGCAGTGTATGATATGACCATTGGGAATTGCAAACATCTGTAATTGTGGGCTGCTTCCTTAATGCTCAAAATGATCATGTGGGAAGGGGAGATGATGTTGGAAATATGTGTCATAAATAGCTTTTTGGGTGGGAGGTCCATTGGAACTTGAAATAGTAATTAAGTGATCAGTTGTAAACCAAGGACTTCCTGTATTTCTTCTGTATATGTTTGACTTCTCTGAATCTGTTACTACTCATCCGTTGATATCCTTGAGCATATCAGTTTGAGATTGGAATCTCCTGAGTTTGAGAATCTTTTGGAAGACTTTTCTTATTTATCCCATTACTGTTTAAATCTTTAGTATCTTTATAGATGTCACTTGTAATATGGTTTCTTGTTTTTTGACACAATAGTTCTCTGAATTTGTTAAATATGTTCTTGAGATCTTTGATATTCTTGGCTTTAACTTTGCTTCTTGGCAATTTCTGTAATCTGTTGTGATACCCATTTTGATTTCTTCTTTCTTGCTTCTTGGCAATTTCTTTTCCCATTAACATATTTATTTTGTTTATCATATTTAAGACCCATTTCCCTCACAGAAGGACTCTGGGTGGTGTACAGTAAGATTTAATTCCTCAGTTCCTCTGGTTGTCAGTCATTGAGGTTCAGGATTTTAAAATGATTCCTGATGTTCTCCTTAAAAATTGTGGGTATATTTTTAAGACCACAATATAGAAAGTGGTTGGCTTTATTCATCTGGCATGTTGAATGCAGTCGAACCTGAGAGCTTATCACACAGCACTAGTTCATCAATCACTTTTTATTGTTTATCCAGGTGGTTTTTATTTTTGACAAAATACAGGAGTGCTTTTATCATTGCTTTTTCCAGCATAGTATTGAAATGGTGCCTTCGTTAAATTGTTCTTATACCTCCTGCATCTTCCTACATTGCTGTTGGCCAAAAAGGTGCCTCTTTGGGGGGGGGAGGGGGGAACGCAAGTGGAAGATCTTAATGCCATGGGTGACTCTGTTGGGAAAACGTAGTCTTGACCTAATCCTGGGATTCTTTGTGTATCCCCCACTGTCACAATGAAGCAGCATAGTAGGACTGTGTGTGTATGTGTTTAAAATTATGTTCAGATAAATCCTGATCTTTTCCCTATGCTTTTTTTTTCTTTCAGTGTCTACTCTATAGGACAGATCAGGCTCAAGATGTAAAGAAAATTGAGAAATTTCATAGTCAATTAATGCGACTGATGGTAGCCAAAGAATCCCGCAGTGTTGCCATGGAAACAGACTGAATATCTGGAAATAAAATGAATGTTCCAGTCACTGTATCATGGGAGGAATGTATCTGTTGGATTTGGGCATATTTGGAATGGACACACGATGGCATCAAGTGGACTGTTAAAATTGAGTTTTGTAAGGATTTGGGGGCTCCACTTCAGAGTGGCTGGTAGACTATATGCTTTCATTGAAAGCTTCTATTTATTTTTCTTTCAAATTTGAGTGAGGAAATATATATGTTCTTTCCTGGAATTCTTAAAGGTTAAAGTATACCCAGCCAGATTTATAACTTCCTTTCTTAAATCTTTAGGATATTGCCTAAAAATGGAAGGGTTTCTCTGATGGGTTGAAGAATGCTGTTATATAGAGGGGGTGGGTTGTGAAATTTTATGTTCTGTTAAATTAGTGATGTATAATCTTTATATATTGATGTATTATTTAGTTGGCAAATAACATCTGATAGTGTTCTACTGGAAAAACAAGGATGCTTGTGAATCAATGCTTGTGTCTAGACTTAAAGATTCAGAACTGACTCTTGCTTTATAACCATATAAACATATAAAACATGTTCTGTTTGTTAACAGGCAAATGCTAAACACAGCTATTTCTGTTCTGTATTTAAGACTGCTGGCAAAGACACCTTTGGTGAGATGGGCAGCATACAAGTTTGATGAATAAATAATTCAAACGCGCTTTGATTTTGAATGATAGAAAGGAATAAAGATGTGCAGAACATTTGATCTTGAACTTCTAGATTTTGAACCCGTTTCACACTTGAATGAGACATTTTGCAAAATATCATGTTGAAATGGTTTGAAACCAAATGTTTACTAGTAGAAACACCTGAGGCATATGAATAAAATTGTGTAGAACTTTTAAATAACTGCTACAGAAACCAGCCTTCAAGTGTCTTATAATTTCTTTTCATATGAAGTTCTCACTTTCAGATGCTAAATTAAGTAGTGGTCTACACATTTATTATCAAATACAGCTGATGACGACAAAGCTTCACAATCACACAAAGTATAAAATGGTAGGCATAGCTTGCCAATAATAAAAGTCATGTTAGATTGTTAATTCTGAAACTAGGAAATATTCACTAAGAAAATAATGCTCAAATGTTTTACTATAGAGTTACCAGCTTCTCTAGGGAATTACAATGATCAGATATGTGCGAAGCTTATTGTTTCAGGGATGAAATGTTTTAGAAAATATGGAAATTTTAAAAATTTGAATTACCTCAATCCAGCTGTCGTGGTCCATTTCTCTGAATTGTTCCTTGGAATATGCAGTAGGAAGTTATATAGAGATTTCAGAACTAATGCTTCTCATAACTTTATACTATTGGTTTACCATCATTGTATGGGGCAGGGCTTAGTTTATTATGCAAAGGTTGATTATATTGTTATAAGAAACTATTTCTCATTGTGCTTGAACTAATTGGCTGTGAAATCATTTTTGTAATTTCAGAACTTGTAAATAAGTGAGCCCCTGTAGTTTCTTTAACTAAAATATGCTGTTATAATCTTATGAAGAAATATAATCTAGAAAAGCACTCTGTTAGTGTTTGGGGATTAACCCCTAGCAGAGTATTGCAGCAGTAGT